TGCGTTCTGGACGAGTTGAAGTCTCCGAATACTCTTCAAGGGCTGCCCCATGTAGAGCGCATTGCAGTAGTCCAGTCCAGTTTGTCAACTTTCACAGTGAAAGTATCTTTGATATCTAGCTTTCCTCTACCATAGAGATATGTTTTTGGCTTGACTCAGCTCTCCTGGATCTTGTTCAAGATTGTTATTTGTGAATTTACAACAGGAATCATAAAAGAACTGTTCGCTCACTCCCACTTTTAAGCACTTTTGGATATATGTCCCCTAAGACTGGCTGCTGAGTAGTTTCTAGCATCATCACTACTTTGTTCTCTTAACAGTAGGCCATATCTGAGAATGTCTCGCAATGTTGGTAGTTCAGAGGCAACAAGTCTCTGCCAGTCCCAATTAGGCTGTGCGTATGAGTGAATGTTTCCAGTCTTGATCTTTTTTTATAAACCATTACATATCAGTTATTACACTCACAGGCAATGAGGCCAGCAGTATTAACACTCTCGGACAAAATAATGTTTAACAAAAAGAGAAAGACAGCTGAACCTGGGAAATGAAACAAACAAAATGTTAAAAAGTTATGATATTTATGTTGTTATCCTATTTTCCCCAAAATAAGATCTCCCCACATAATAAGCCCAATTGGGCTTTTGAGTGCATGCACTAAAATAAGCCCTCCTCCAAAAATAAGCCCTCCCCAAAAATATTTAAATGCATGCAAAGCCTGTCCCCGCCATTTCCTCTGCCGTGCAAACAACACGAGATGAAGAGACAAGGCCAGAGGGGGGAAAGGGAGGGGGGATATGCCCCATGCGCCCCACACATCCTTACCTAATGGCTGCTCCTGAAACTCTAGCCACAGCACTCCTTCTGTTATACTAATGGCTGCCGCAAAAAGAGCGGCATGCCTAGAGACACACAACACAGCAGCAGCAAAAAAAACTGTGTGATTTGGAGGATCACATGCCCGAAAGAAGCAACAATGTGATACAGTTGTATAAAAAAGCAAAACAATCACTGGCTCCATCAACAGAAGTGTAAGGTCGAGAATAAGAGAAGCCTGTACACTTCTCTCCAATATTCTCCACTATTTAGACTTTACCTAGAATATTACATTGAGTTCTGGGAATCAGATTTTAGGAAGGAGCTAAACTGAAGTGTATCCAGAAAGGAATATCGAAGATGATAAGGAATCTGGAGGGAAATACTTATAAAGATTTCGAGGTATTGTTTGCTTAGTCTTTTAGAAGAGAAATCTGGAGGGAAACATGACAGCTGTTTTTAACTATCAGAATCCCTCTCATGTAGAAGATGGGATAGAATTGTTCAGAATTGTTCTGAAAGAAGGGCAAAGATGCAATAGATTCAAATTATAACAAACTACCACTAGTAAGTCTTGACTTACAACCACAATTGGGATCAGATTTGCCATCATAAATCAGGTCATTCGTAAAGTGAGACATCACATGAGTCCACCACCTATGATGGCAATCCCAGCAATTACCATTGCAATAGTTCATTAAGACTTTACATGTGACTTCCATCATTTACAAAAACAGTGCAGCTTTACAAAGACTTAAAGAGCCAAATATATTGTAAGAAATGTTCACTNTCCACTGGTGGAACATCTTCTAACCGGTTCGGTAGATTTGACGAACCGGTTCTACCGAATAGGTGCGAACTGGTAGGAACCCACCTCTGCCTTGTATCTAAAAAGGCCAAAGGTTAAATCTTAATAGATTCTGGTAGTTTTACAGATACACTAAAGAAGCTCAAAATTATCAAAATCTGATGAGATTTGGTAACTTTGGAAAATTAAAATTTCTAGTTAATGGGGAAGTTACAGATTATTTGCAGCATCCACATGTACACGTGAGATTATTTCGTTCCTGTGGGCTCTGTGTTGACAATCTGTTGGTATCCCACCCTGTCCTCATTTTAAAAAAGCAAACTTGTGAATGGATTTTAGGGTCTTCAATGTCTCTTTGTGTTCATTAAAAAAAAACCAGCAACACAGATCTGTAGAAAGTATTTTGAAGCTGAATTATTGGAAAGAGAAATTGCTGCCCATTTACAGTACGGTACGCCTGTCTTCGACCTGTAAATGAGATGCATATCAAGATACAATGTCTTGCTTTTCCTGACTAATCATGCCAGTTTCACATAAAAGCATAATCAAATTGGGGGTTAGCCCCTCTGGATCAGGGGGATAACCTTAGACCAAGGGGAGTCATAATTTCTATCTTGGATATCCACTTGGTTTTATAAAAACTGAACATAGAGTGAAAATATATTTTAAAGTGTCATTGTGCTTTTTGCAGCTGACAGTGTATTAGAAATGCTTAGCAGCCTCAAGACAAAAGCTGCTCATGATTATTTATTTCAGGATACAAATAATATTTAAATATTTATTTCAGGAAATTCCAGACATTATTGACTGTACTCTCCCACAAGCAGTAGAAAAGATTAATTCTGAAGAAAGAGAAGAATTGAAAGTTTCAGGTAAAAATCAGTTTCGTGCTCAATGTTGCAGAAATGTGAATAATTTTTACTTGCTTTACTTAACTCGCGTTACTCCTTGGTTACAGAGCATCAAAATGTGGGATTGAAATGGACATTCATATAGTGAATTGGAGTTCTATTTAATATAGTTACGTCTAATAATGTGCCTACATACTAGTGGCATTCCTATACAGCATTAAATCAAAAGTTAGCCTGTGCAAGTCATCACAACTGAATATTATTCAGCCACCCAGAGTGTGAGGGAAATGGGCATATCAAAATGTGATAAAATAAATAAATGATTGATTTTGATAGGTCCTATTACTAGGCTGAAAATAATATAAAAATAGGGGGAAAAATAACAGACAATATGCAAAGGAAATTCAAATTAGGGATAGGCGTAGAATGGGGGACTTCCGGATGGGAACAATAAATGGAAAAAGCATCTTGGAATTGTAATAAATCAAAAACTGAATAACCTGAAACAACAGCCAGAAAGACAAATACAATTCTAGACTGTGGCAACAGAAATATAATAATTTTGAACTATGAGAAGTAGTAGTTCTGAGCCCCACATTTTCAGAAGAATTTGGAGAAACTGGAACAGATACAAAGAAGGTTAGAAAAAATATCTAATGGTAAGTGCAGTGGAACCAAATATATTTGGATGTGGTTGGATTCAAAACATTTTTATCTACCTTTCACTGAAGATATCAGGAACACTTCTTCTTTTACAAAAACTGTAATATGCCACTGAAAATATATCTCTCAATACAGTGGTGGGTTTCAAAAATTGTTTGAACCTACTCTGTGGGTGTGGCCTCCTTTGTAGGAGTGGCTTGCCGCCCATGTGACCAGATGGGAGTGGCTTGCCGGCCATGTGACCGGATACGAAGATGCCGACGACACTTGTCAGAACCACCTTAAATTACCTCACACACAGCACTGGCATGCATAAGAATATGATGTAAACTTGTTTTTTCAAAGGCATCTTTGGTTTGCATTAAAACAACTTCAACACACGCAATGTTCTGATTGCACCACAAACGCAGTAGTCATCCTTACCTTTCACAGAGGCACTGAGTTTTATAAATAGGAGCACGATAGTGTAGAATAATCATATCCAAGGACCAGTGGTGGGTTTCAAAAAATTTTGGAACCTCTTCTGCTGCTTTCCGGGTCCACTGGTGGAACCTCTTCTAACCGGTTCGGTAGATTTGACGAACAGGTTCTACCGAATAGGTGCGAACTGGTAGGAACCCACCTCTGAATACAATACATCCTTGAGCTTTTATATTTAGGTAGAAAAAACACGATCTTGCATTTTGATTGGCGTCCTTGTTAACGATCGCCTTTTCATTTTCAGCAAAACTCTTTGTCACAAGATCAAACTCCTCATCAATCAGAGAAGCAGTGAATATGAGTAAGTTCAAAATCTAAATTTGAGTGACAGCCCAGTTTATGCTTCGTATGTTTTTAAAAATGCTTTTATAACTAACACAGGTGACAGATTTATCTCAAGTTGTTTTTTTTAAAAAAAGGCTTTCATGTCCTTCCTGTCCTTGAACTATAACTGACAAAAAAGCAAACATTGTCCTTTTGTTCTAGGCAAGTAAATTCAAGCTCGTGTTACTAAAAGAAACAGTGGCTTTGTAAACTCAAGTGCTCTTATGGTAACTTGCAAAGCAAATTAGAAGTCCCCTGTGTCCCTTGACAATAATTAGGCTTTTATTTTTCTTATAACACACTAAAATTGTTTGGGGCTACTGAGAAAGAAAGCATGGATATAGAAAGGAGAGAAGTATATATAAGGGAAGGTATGGGTGACATGTTAACTTTTCAGTTAGCTTTGAAAGTAACTTTTTTTTAAACAGCTGAATTTCAAAGCCTATTTATAAAATATAGAGGGTTTTTTTCCCCCATACTTCAGAATATTTCTCTCCTCATTGTATAGATACTTCATTGCAAGTTAAAATGATTTTGCTGGATCTTTACAGTTCTGAAGATCTGGAGATTCACAGGCCTTATGGTGGCATCTGCAATCTACATCATTTTACCGTGTATTTTATGATGTACCTCTTACAGCTGTCAAAATGCTGTATATGTATGAATGCTGAAGCAACATGCAAATATTATTGGTTTGTGAGTGGATTACATTTGAAGAGCTCCAGGTCATTACCATACTGAATGTGATATAAAATAAATGTAACAGACTGAATACATGAATTGCAGATAAGTTGTTTCTGCTTTTTAAAAGTATATATAAAATTGTTCCTTGTTTAATTTTTTTTTTATTTTGTTTATTTTTAGCATGTTCAGCTCTTGGTGTTGACCAGTTAGATTCTGTGATCATTTCTCCCCCTGCAACTGAAGATGGAATTAATTTTTCTTTAGAATATTTACAACCTTACTGGACAGAGCTTGAAAATTTAGTCCAGAACAAAAAGATTGTTGCCATAGGGACTTCTGATCTAGATAAAACATTGCTAGAACAGCTGTTCAGGTGGGCACAGGTAAGAAACAAGCTGCTCGTTGTGAATTCAACTCCTATTAAAGCACAAACTTTTTATCACCTATTGAATGTTTCATTTATTTTAGGTGAAACCGAGTAGTAACCAAGTGAATCTTGCTTCCTGTTGTGTCATGCCACCAGATCTGACTTTATTCGCAAAAGAATTTGACATTCAGCTGTTAACTCATAACGACCCAAAAGGTAATGTCGTCTTAAGAATCTGAGGATTGCCTTGTTGGAATAAACAAGAACAATTCTGTTAATGATAAAAAAGACTTTAAGGACTTTCTAAAGCCTTCTGTCTGTGGGTTGATAGGTTGAAAACAAGGCCTGGAAAACCTTTGAAAAATTTGAGTGGGATGGTGGCAAAATATCAATCCACTAAATGAAATATATTACATGAGATGACATCTACGAGACCGTCTCCTGCCACATACCTCCCTTAGACCAATAAGATCACACAGGATGGGCCTTCTCCGGGTGCCTTCAGCAGGACAATGCCAGCTGGCGACGTCTAGGAGTAGGGCCTTCTCTGTTGCCGCTCCGGCCCTATGGAATGAGCTGCCCCGGGAGATCCAGGCCCTCCCTACTCTCATGGCCTTCCACAAAACTATTAAAACCT